ATATGCACCAATCAGCTTTAAGATTTTGCCTTCGTTTTAGATGCCAGTAAAACCATACACTAACGTTCCTGGTATACTTTGTACTTCGTACTACGTTCCTGGTAAAAATATAGCGCACCAAAAAGTTGAACGGAACCTTTTCATGTGATCGTACTGGTATAATGATTTCAAATTGTCAGCATAAATATGTTTTAATTAAATAGTTTTAAAATTATTATTCCCTTTGCGGTTTTTGTTAATTCATTACGAAAATACAAGAAATATTGAATGTGCTTGAAATATCTTTACATTTGAGCAATCATCTATATTAATAATTACATTAAAGTCTGCTATGTCATCAAGAAGTTCACGATAGTTATTGAAAACTTTTTAAAGAGTTTTGTCACCATTTCAATCAACTACAGTACGAAATTGATTTTTGAATTTCTGGTCAGCCATATAAATGAGTGCTTACAAAGCAAAACTGGCAAGTTACTGTAATGATTTACATGATTAATTATGATGGTTTCGCTCTGCAGTACTCAAATAGAAGCCAGGTACGTACATAGGTATGACGTTTACATATTGATCTACATGTATAAATTCCATTCTTTGATCTCTGTATATTAATAATGCTGCACCTGCATCAAAAAAAAATAACCTTAACTTTTTTGCCCCAATTAAATAACCAATTAGCATTTTTGATCTTAGCATATAATTATAAAAACATCTCATTTTTAAATAACTTTACTAACTTGTAGAGTAAAATTAATTTGAATGGCTAATTACTGTGTAGAATCTTCGTTAAGCTAAAATTATAAACCCAAAAAATAACACACAGCTGTACATAAGTTTGAGTACCTGAAAAATAAAAAGGCAATTAACTGAGTTTATCATTACTAAATATTATTTAAGTAGACTTTTACTAAAACATACCTATGTATTATTATCTCAAAATTGGTTAATTAATCAATGCAAGACATCCTGAGTAAAAATGCTCTACGCCCCTAAAAACCCTTCCCGAACTCTAACCCTAAATACTAACACTAGCATGAAAATTTTTATATCAAACTTAGAAAAATCTAAAATATGATAAAACATATAATAGGTGCAAAACCACTATAGGAAGTGTTTGTATTTGGACTATGTCCAATGAAAATTTTATTTGGACTTGGACAAATATGGACATGGACTAATCCAAATAGTGTCCATGTCCATATCATCTTTTTCGAAATTTTCGGAATATTTCAGAATTTAACACTAATTTGGCCTCAGGTTTCACTCTTTCGATTTGGAATATTTCGGAACAGAAGCTTACGTGTTTGATTTGGACTATGTGCCCTATACCCAATGAAAAAATATGGTTAATATGGACATAGTCCATAAATGTCCATGTCCATTGGTCCATATTGTCCATGTCCATATTTTGTAAACACTGACTATAGGTGCGTTTTATAATAAATGTTTATGTATTCATTTGATATTTTTTAAATATTCTGATTTTAAAATAATGCTTATGGTCATTAGTTGTTATTGAGCATGCCATTTAAAATACTCCAATAATGCCCATGGTCATTATTTTGTAGTTTTATCTTTCTGGTCTATTAAAATAAAGTATGTCAATATAAATCATTATATTCAAAATTTAGAGCTATAAGAAAACAAATAGGATAAAAATCTAGAAATACATAATAATAAATTAAGTTCTCCATGTAATAAACAATGAACTACTTGTAATTGATGTAATCAATATCACTATCCACATTGTACAAGTAAATTGATATTAATTAGCAACTCAAAGACAGACGAGTGAAATTAAGGTCATGACGGATATATTAAGAAAATTGATGTAACATATACAGAGTTATTTGAATGAATTCCACTTGGTAGTCAAAGAGTATTTATCATTACGGCGCATTAGCGAAATTAAGCAGACAATTTGTCAGCAAATCCAAGCATTTGTTCCCCAAATTAAATTTAAGTTACCTAATTATATATTAATCAATCAATGTTAAACCCCGAAAATTTTGTTGTACCCCTGATCTCTATTGATAACGCGTCCAACCCATCTTTCCCACATGCTAACCCATTTCCCCACTCCCCACGCATCCCATTAGACATGATAATCCATTAAATAATACATTATAGCTTGGGAATGTTGATTATCTCAGTTAAAACCTATATTTACGTATTTGTAGTCAAATTTTTAAAATTTTGAGGTATTTCGCAAATGAGCAATTGAAAGATGGATTTGATCTGTGACACTATATGGGGTCTTTGCCTTGAAAATGACATTAGGTACATGATACCGTAAGGTCATTTTCAAGGCAAAGACCCCATATAGTTAACAAAAAAAAATTCATGCAATTCACGCATTATTCTCTACTATAATTTTAACCGATATAAGTGCAGTAATTCAAAAGTAATACCTAAATTATGCTGTAATATTTGATGCATATTATAATGTTTACTTGTGCTATAAATTCTTGTTATTTAATGGGTATCGGTGAATACGGTGTATTTCATAGATTAATAGTAAAATCACGTGGCCAAAGGCCACGTGGTTTACTATTAATCTATGAAGTACACCGTATTCACCGATACTCATTAAATAACAAGATTATTTCATGGGTACGACGTACAACCTGTGAATTGCATAATTAATATTAAACTTCCGGTTAGTATTTTATACTTTTTCTATATAAAGAATTTTGACTACTTATTTTAGTAATCAAATTGATCTTTTTTCCTATTGTTATCAATCTTTTTAATCACTTTTTTTAAAAAAAATGAGAACAAGAAATAATAACATTGCACCAACAGAAGCGGAAGTTCTTGAATTGCAAAAGCTTTCGCGTGTAGAGAATACAGACAAGTGTACCTCTAAGTGGCTACGCTCCATTGACAGGTTTTGTGAAACCCTAAAGTATGAAAAAAGGATTGAGGAAATAGAGTCACTAACAGAATTAGATGACTTTTTGTGTAAGTTCCTTACCTGGCTAAAATGGCTGGATGGAAGAGATTACAAGGCTGAAAGCATTCATAACTGCTACACTTCTGTGGCTTGTTATTTAAAAAAACACAGTGAAATTAGGCTGTGTAAGTTGTGGATTTATACCATTTCAATAAGGCATTAAGAACGTTAGATGGTAAAATGAAAAAACTGCAAAACAAAGGTTTTGGAGAAACATATCATGCCTCACCATTAACTGCTGAAGAAATTTCTCAAATACTCAACCATGAATCAATGCAAGTTGGGACTAATGAAGGGTTGACACGACAAGTATTCTTTTGGTTGTTGTTACTCTGTGATCTTTGTGGTGGCAACGCTGAATGAATCAAGTTCAAAGATATCTCTCATCGTGATGATGGTGGGCTTTATCTTACGTTTAACCATAAAAAAAACAATCAGCGTGGGGCTTTAAAATGAAATAAATATGGGAAAAGCTCTGCACGAAAGATTCCCATTCCTTCTGATCAAGTGAATAATTGCTTTAAACTAATTGAGGATATTTTGTATTTGATTTCTTTTTGGCCTGTTGATGCCTGTAATTCATTTTTCTTGGAAACAACATGGGCAGTAAAGGGTTTAAAGCGCTTATTTTTTGATTTCAATTTTGTAATAAATTTCGTTATTAACTTTTTTTTTTCTTTTTTTTTTATAGATATAAATAAGGGTGTCTGGTTTAAGAAATCCTGGATGGGAACAAATAAGCTAAATACTATGATGCCAAAAATTGCAGAACTTACCGGTATCAATCTCGACAATAATCGTAAAATCTGTAACTATTCGCTACATTGTACTGCGATTCAACAGCTTAAGGACTTGGACGTTCCAGAGGACGAACATAGGGTGTTCTCTGGACATCGCAGTAGGGAAGGAATCAGGGCCTATAATAGTCCAAATGATGAACAGAGGCTTAGGAATACATCAATGCTAATTCCTTTAGATTTCAATGATATTCTGTATGAAGAGTTTGGCTATTTTTCTGGTGACGCTCAAAATTATGTGAATTTTGAAGCAGATGATGATTATGATAAAGGTATTCTTCTTTTTTATTAAAAAAAATTTTTTTTTTTGCAATTACAACTATTTACTATTCTAATTTCTTGAATAAGAATCATTGAAACCATCCGAAAGATTTTTATTGGAACTATCCCAAAGATTTTCATTGGAACTATCTCAAGGATCATTGTTAGAATTATCCCAAGGATCATTGTTGGAACCATCCCAAGGATCATCTTCAGAACTATCCCAAAGATCATCTTCGGAACCATCCCTAAGATCATCCTCAGAACTATCCAAAAGATCATCATTAGAACCATCCAAAAGATCATCCCAAAGACTAGCTCAAAGACTATCCTATAAATCAAAGTCTAAACTATATGTACCGTTTAAACCTCCTTATAAAGTATCGAATGATCAATCTACTCATGTCCCTCCTATTATTAAAAAACCGTCATGTCTTTCCTGGCCTTCTCCAACACTATTAACCCAATCAAGTTCATCATCTCAACTAAGACCACTGTTAAACGACGTTTCAAATCATTTTTCGCTTTTAACTTATCAAGACATTAAGGATACTAACGATAATGATAACGAAATTAAAGAAATTCATTACCATTTTCACTATCATTTTTAAATATGTATTTTTTTATTGAATAATGTAATTTCTTTATTTGAATAATTAAATAAATATATGAAAAAATGCTCTTTTAATAATAAATAAAAAAAAACTCATTTCATGGCACAATATTTAATGGTAAATTAAGTATTTATAACAAGGTTATTTTTGCATCGGTCTATATGAAAATCATGTGATTTTCATATAGACCAATAAAAATAACCTTGTCAAAAAACCACGGGTTGTTATATAGTACCCATGGAATAAAAACTTTAATTGTACGGAGTAGTACAAAGTTACAACAATACGTTACGTCCTTGATTAATTAATTAATTTACTTATATCATTGTATCAAATATATATATATATATATATAAATTTTTTATGTTTAGCTGCATGCATATTTGTATTCTAGTGTAACAAAACAAAAGTGTTACAGGTTAACTTCCCAAAATTCATTTTCTCGATATTTGACAATTTCTCCGAACATTAAAAAACAATTATATTTGATTGTTGAAGAATCAGGTTGTTGATAAATTAGTTTGATCAGAAAAATGCATTTTATAAAAACTTCTACGTATCAGAATGAGTTTTCGGACAAGAACCTAGTATGACCAACCAAAATCAGTTACGTAATCGCTGTTTTAAAAATCATTCAAAAATTAATGAATCTGTTTATAATATAGTACTGTTTGGCCCTGATTCTGTTAAACTCGAGTTTTATAGTTACATGATTTTAATTATTATATTTAAACTCATCATGCTTAAATTGCAAAACTACCGTTCTTGATAGATCGTTAGTACTTTTCTTAATGGGACGAAAAAATACGATTTGTATACTGATTGGGTTCTAAAAACTAAACTACTATCAGAATATAAGGCTATTGCATAAAAATTTGGCAGTCCATTATTACTGCCCAACCAGATTATAAGATCATTGCATAACAATAAATTCAAAAAAAAAACGGAAATTAGTATTTAATCATTTAATAAATTTTTTTAGCCCAAATTTTCTTACCAATTCACACAAAATGATACCCATGATTATTATTTTAAAAACGTAATTCAAAGAGAGTTAATATTTAATTTAGCTGAATACAACCATAATTTTAATGTTAATAATTCTTTTGCTAAATTAATTATTAGCTCTCTTCAAATTACTTGTCTCAAATAACACATATAAAAGCTTTTGCATAAATATAGTATAGTATTATTTTGTGCCTAATATTTACACTGGTCAAAATTTTTTAATATAATAGGCTGATACAAAGGTGATTTATATAAAAACAACCATTATAAAATCGGGTATAAGATAACTGAATGCTTAATAATATCAGTAAAATATCTTCCTAATATCATAGGCCGATACTAGGCTGATGCTAGGCTGATAGTGTGATAATATATTAAATTTTAAAATTTTGTCTAAAAAAAAGAAGATATAAATATGAATAATATAGTCATACTATATCTGCCTTATATCTTTAAGCTGA